AGATATATACAACTTCAGATGGACAACAACAAGTGCGATATTACACTGTGCCATGATTTATTTAACAAAAAATAACCCAAAATGGAGAAGACGTGTGAAAAACTAAGTACACTCTTACTGTTTCCATATGAATTAAGATACTAAGTAGCAGACAGGTGCTACTTAGACAAGATGCCCTTTATTAATTTATCATCAGCAAGTGTGACCACCTCTGTAGAGCTGAAGATTGTGTTAACACAATGCCAAGGAGGAAAGACGTCACCAATTGTTGCTGCTCATCAAACTGGGAAGGGTTACAAGGCAATTTCCAAACAATGTAACATCCATCATTCTACAGTGAAAAAGATTATTCAAAAGTGGAAAACATTGCAGGCAGTTGCCAATCTTCCCTGGGGTGGTCTTCCCAGCAAATTCACCCCAAGGTCAGACCATGCAATGCTCAGAGAAATTGCAAAAAACCCAAGAGTTATATCTCAGGCTATGTTAGTATGTTATGCCTCAGTTAGCATGTTAAATGTTATGTTAAAGTTCGTAACAGTACAATTAGAAAATTTAAAAGTATGGTTTGGTTGGAAAGGTTGCCAGGAGAAAGTCTCTTCTCTCTAAAGAGAACATGGCAGCACAGCTCAGATTTGCAAAGTTGCACCTGAATAAGACTCCTGGAACAACGTCCTTTGGACAGTCATGTATGACCACGTTTGGGAAAAACAAAACTAAACACAGCATATCAGCACAAACACTACATACCAACTGTCAAGCATGGTGGTGGAGGGGGGATGATTTGGGCTTGTTTTGCAGTCACAGGACTTGGGAACCTTGCGGTCATTGAGTCGACTATGAACTCCTTTGTATACCAAAGTATTCTAGAGTTATGCAGCAGGACAATAATCCCAAGCACGCCAACAAATCTACAACAGAATGGCTGAAAACGAAAAGAATCAAGGTGTTGCAATGACCTAGTCAAAGTCCAGACCCCAACTCAATTGAAAGCTGTGGTGGGGCCTTAAGAAAGCTGTGTATAAACAAATGTCAGCTAACCTAAATGAACTGAAGCAACTTTGTAAAGAAGAATGTGACAAAATTGCTCTAAAACGACGTGTGAAACTGATAAAGTCATACAGAAAATGATTTCTTTTTCTGTATAAGTTATTACTGCTAAAGGGGGTTCTACAAGCTTTTGAATCATAAGGTGTATTTAGTTTTTCGCAACATCCCTTTCCCATTTTGGCTTTATTTTTGTTAAATAAATAATGGCATGATGCCATGTGTTGTTCATTTGGGTCCATTGCTGACATTGGCAATCACAAAAGGTTAATTAGAAATACTGGGCAAATAAGCAAAAAACTATTTGCTTCAATGGTCCCAAAAAATACCGCCCATGCACAGAACAGTACCGTGAATTTCTATTGACTATTTAATTAGAGTTCATGTGTTGGGAAAATAGGCATGTGTTCATCCACAAACTTTGAAATCTTGTCCAGTTATGATAGAAAAACTGTTTTTATGTTTTATTGTATTCTGTATTTTTGGGTCAATTAGTTCAAGTACTATCTACATTAATTCTTCAAACATTGAAAGTAAGAGGCTAAGCACTCGGCCAGTTCACAGGCTCACAGGCTGTCCAAATGGCTAATGATTTGCACAAGGGAAATTATTTTTTTAAAGTAATATCACTCGGCATGCCGTGTATTACATTCTATTGATAATGTACTTCATGTAGAAAATATCCACATACATACATTTAATTAAGTGTTCAGTAATGACCTTACCCTGCAGTCTTTTTAGAAAACATTAACCCCTTAAGGACCAAGCTTCTGGAATAAAAGGGAATCATGGCATGTCACACATGTCATGTGTCCTTAAGGACTCCAGGCACAGGGGCACTCCTAAAACCAGAATCACTAGAGAGAGCTGTAGTAGTTAAAGTGCTTGTTGGGTTCCTTTTTTTTCCTCCCAAATATGATTTAGAATACTGAGGGTTGATTAACTGTTGTACTGTGACAGTTGGATTCTGAATAATGAAAAGAAACACTCCAATTTATTAAGAAGTTGTTTTATCAAGAAAACAACATTCCGGGTTATTCACTAAAGTGCGACTTGTCAGGTATACAAAGTAAATTCAAACTAAATAATACATTTTAATTTATTTTTATTTTTATTACAGATAATTAATTAGGAACAATTGCACGCATCTGGGACTGAACACTACACAAGGATGTTTTTGGTCTGGTGTAAGGCATAAACAGGATTATCCCTCTGGGTAAAAAATATCACTATTTCAATTTGATGTAAAATCTGTGGCCTTATTAGCAGCTACAATATCACCAAAAAAAAACACACTAGTGGTAGTGAAATTTATTCAAAGTCATAATTACCTAAGGATCGAGGAGGGGTTCAGCAGTGTCTACTTCCCTGTGCTGAAATAATCATTTACTGGCTTCTGCAATGTGTAATTAAAGGAATTTGACAATCAAGAACTGAATACATGCCAAGTCAAATTTGGCGGGGTGTATTGACATAAAGGAAAGAGAAAACTGAATGACGTAGGCATGAAGCGACCTATGATAAACTATATGACTTTTTCATGAGTGCCACTAGGGTGTTGCTCAATGGTTAACTCTTCTCAGTCCAACATTATTTATAAATAATCTGCCTAATGTCTGCAAATCCTCAAATGTACACATGTACGCAGATGACACGGTAATCTATGCGAGCAACTCCGATCTACCACAGCTTGAGGCTGTGCTCCAAGATCAGTTTACAGTGGTAGAAAAGTGGATTGCAAAAAACAAACTCTTCCTGAACACTGACAAAACTGTCACAATGATCCATCAAAACAAATTCAAATGGCACACTGACCGCAGTCCACTCTTTCAAATACTTGGGTATGATGTTAGACCCCAATCTATCTTTTGGCCTGCACATAGAAAAGCTTGCATCTAAACTTTATCCAAAACTAGGTGCCCTGTACAGAAACAAATCCTGCCTAAGCCCTACAGTAAAGGAAAAGATTGTACTGCAAATGCTGATGCCAATCATTGATTATGGGGATGTAGTATATGCATCTGTATCGCAATATAAACTCAACACATTGTATAACTCGTTCTGCCGATTTGTGCTACAATGTAAATACAGGACTCACCATTGTGACATGCTAAAATAACTAAACTGGCTGTCGCTGGAATCCAGACGCACCCTTCATCTTTCCAGCCTTGTGTTTAAGAGCTTTTCTGGGAAACTCCCACCCTACCTGAACACAATGCTTTCCTCAGCTGTTCCCACTTCCTTTAACCTCCGATCCAGTACCAACACTTTACTTAGGCTACCTCAATACAAAAATAAAGCAGCCCGAACCTCCTTCTCTTACAGAGCACCGCAATTGTGGAACGATCTCCCGCACAATTTAAAATCTTCCCTAAGCCTAAAGTCCTTTAAGAGATCCCTCTCTACATACCTCAAAACAGAATGCACCTGTCATGGTTGATTATATATTTCCTGCCTGTTCTATGTTAAATATTGTATTTATTGTGTATTAATATTGTTTTTTTATTTTATTGTACCCTAGTTGTAACAATACAATGATTTGTGGACCCAGGACATACTTGAAAATGAGAGAAATCTCAATGTATCTTTCCTGGTAAAATAATATATAAATAAATAAATAAAATCTCTGGCTTCTTACCAAAATCAGACCAAAGCAGGCAGATCAAGTCTGTAAAACAGGTAACAGTAGATTAAAATGTCATTCGTATGGCAAACAGGCTTCTGTTACTTACAGATGTTGCATGACACTCATGAACAACACATTAGTTTTGCAATATAAGGGATAACATATTTGGCATATATCACATTGTCAATTAAATAATTACACTGCACGTATAGACAACATAGGTAACAATGACTTATGAAATATATTATTGGGAACGGTTTTATTCCACAATGCCTGGCGAGATAAGTACCTTCTGGACCTCAATTTGATGTAGACTGCCAATTCCAGCATGCTCTGTCTACGCAGAAATGAACATTGGGCAATGTTAGCTAGTAGCAACAAAAGCTGGTAAACATTCTGGGAGATTTAGAGTACAACAGCTAGGAAACTTGCTTATCTCCCTGCATGAGAGTGTTTCAGATTTTCATGCCCAGAGACTATCACTTTGAAGAGTTGTACTAACCTGGGCTGCCTGTGGTGGCAGCCGGCAGGGTGGAACACAAAACATCCCCTCTTGCCAGAGCATGCTCCTGCCTATTGGCACGTTGCTAAAATGGGTGCCACCACATGGCACGTGGACTTAAATTAGAGGGGCAAAGGTTTAAAAATAATTTCAGTAAGTATTGCTTTACAGAGAGGGTAGTGGACACATGGAATAGCCTTCCAGCTGAAGTGGTAGAGGTTAACACAGTGAGGGAGTTTAAGCATGCGTGGGATAGGCATAAGGGTATCCTAGATTTAAGATAGGGCCAGGGACTAATTAAAAGGATTTCAAAAACTGGGCAGACTTGATGGGCCAAATGGTTCTTATCTGCCGTCTCATTCTATGTTTCTATGTTTCATTACTCTGGTGCTGTCTTGTGGCTAGCACACAGGTGGCTGCTGGGATGTATCTGCATGGAGTGTTTACTTAGTTCCTTTCTGTTCCCTGTACTGATCCTGGAAGTCAGGCTGTGATGCCTACCCAGCCACTCCTTAAGTGTGTGTATGAGTCTGTGTGCATATATGAATGTGTGTTTGTGTATGAGTCCTTTTGTTTGTATGAACATGGATGGGTGTGTTTATATGTGTCTTTGTGTTTGTGTATAATGCTTTGTGTCTGTATGAATATGGATATGTGTGTTTATATGTGTCAGTGTGTTTGTGTATGAGTCTGTGTGTGTATGTGAATGTATGTGTGTATCTGACTAAGTATATGTAATTATTAGTGTCTATGTATATAAATGTGAGTATGTGCTTGTAATTTAACTTACAAAAGGGTGTTGAGGGTGCAAAGTGTGAGAAAAAAAAGCCCAAAAACTTTCTACAGTTTATGAAGGGGGGATGCAAAATACATTTTACATGTTAGCCATATAACCTAAGTACGCTTCTGGTCTCAGGCAAATGACGACATACAAAGTTCCTATGCATGAAGGATTCACAAAGCATGATGGGATTCATAATTCAAAGCAGGTAGAGGTTGATGGGAGTTCTAGTGCACAGGAACAACAAGAAGGGCAGGAATTTGCCTTTATATGCTTATGCAGTGCAAGCAGGGAGATATATAGTCCCCATCGGCTGGAGTGCCAGAGTCTTGCTTATTCAAGTGTTTGACCATCACATGATAAATCAAAAGAGGCCATTCATTAATACATTGCTGTTTTCTTGCCCTGAGAAACCGGGTGAAAGGTCCTTTCCTCTCCCTAACATCCCAAGCACAAGGTGCTGAGCAAGGAGAGGCGCCCCATCGGTGGGGAAAACAACTCACTCAGGCTGTGAGGAATTAGCCAGAACCAGTTAGGACTGGTCAAACTCAGTAAATTCTCACATTTACACAGGATATTCCCTTTGTCCCCCTGGAGCATTCTACTATCCTTGGTGCTTTATCACCCTCCTCCTCTCTCTCTGTGACTTGTTATTGGCTCTGTGGTTTCCAAGAGGAAGACTATTCCCCACGAATCCTCATTCAACACATAGGACAATAACTTTGCTTCAACAATTTACCAGTGCACAAATATGCGCATTTCTGTTTGTCGAAATTGTGAGGTGTTTTTTTTTTGTTTGTTTTGTTTTTCATAGATATTTTCTGGGTGTATTTCATTAATAAATCACCGAGATGTTATACTGTTGGCAATTTCAAATTTTGCTGACTTTTTTAAAATCTACAATTCAGATATTTTGACAATTCACATATTAGCGAATAAACCAAACAGAATTTGAAAACTTTGGTGTATAATAAAGGGATTTGTCACGCATCTGACACCTTGCCTGCATTTTAAAGCTGCGGTGAGACAAGGCAATGATTGCATATGACATAATGAATTAATACATACATATATAAATAAATACATTATCTCAATAAATCCTACATAAGCTCCTTCTTTAGATTCCGTTTCAAACAGGATGCAGACTGCTGAAGGCAATAGCAGGCGCACTGATATTTACATGCAACGTAGATCAGATACTGCTTGGAGTCATTGGAAACCCGCATAATCTACAGACAGGAGAAGGCACATAGTCCATATTAAAAAGGAGTTATGCAATGACTTTGGCGCACAAAAGAGTCTTTATCAAGCATAACATACAAACACAATGAAGCGGCTAAAATATATTTGTAGCAGAAAGTGACATAATCACGTAACATTGTTGCCGTGACATGATACACACACAGGGTAACAATGCATAAATATAAGAGGAGCAAAAATTGCAATGTGAAATAATAAGGGACTCTACATCTTCATGAAGTGGTTTTAGTACAAAGACGTTGTCCTTGCAGGCTGACAAATATAAACATTGAGAAATGGCAGTGTGTACATTAGTAGGCATATAGGAGGGGCACTACTTAAACTCCAAAATTGTGCAGTGAGTAAAGGTCCCTGCTCCAAGGATCCAAATGTAATTCAAAGCAAAGAGACTCCAGCACTCGGTAGTTTCAGGTGCTAAGTGGGTTTATTCAGCCAACCCAAATTTATACGTCTTGATAATGTATGCACACACTGCTCTACATCACATAGACAAAGTATACACACAATGACACACTACTATGGACAAATGCACACTCATACTCAGACAGTATACACACAATGACATACATTAATATATACAGTATACACACTGACACAATACTACACACACTCAGATACATTATATACATTGACACCCTGACACAAAGGCATACAGTATACACACTGACACACATTATTATGCACTCACGCAGACCACAGCACATACATACTGCTGCAATTACGCAACATTACATGCACACTCAGCCATACTGTACATATTGTAAATAGTTTTTAGGTAATGTAGGAAATTTCCCCCTTCCAAATGTTTTTTTATTTTTTATTTTACATCTTTGAAAATGTTTTTTGTTCCCGGTGATGTCATGTAACATCCTGTGATGTAATCAAATTAGCATTTTTTCCAAGAAGGATGGCAACTCCATATAGGATGCACTCATGACTATGTATAAGAAAGCACTAAATGTAATGTACATGGTCAGACATTACAAGCTTTGTGTGAGCGTGTGCATGAAATCACTCACTACCTGAGCATATGTCCATTTAATCACCTGCATACTCTGAAAAAATGCAGTCACTTTCTGGTTTAGGAAGAATGCAAAAGGGTATCTTTGCAGACTAATGCTTTTATCTATTTATTTAAATTATACTATTTTGCGTGACATAGTTTGCAAGGCCTCAATACCATAAATCCCCCCAGCATTGAGACTGACACATTTTCCGAGTTAAGGACATTGGCCGAAGGCTGAATTTCCCATGAGGTTAAGTAGGCATATTTTCAACACTTATTATGCCTTGTTTGAGCTCAGTACAAAAATAAATAAACGTGTGTATGATTGCGCCGGGTCAACCTTCACCGGAAGGCTATATGGGAAATAACATATCGCAGTAACCGTCATCAATAGCCGCCAAACATTACAGGTGAAAGAACTGAATACTCTGATTATACATGAAGACCTAGGATTGGAGAATAAGGACTCATGGGATCGGGAGGAAGACCCAGCACGAACATATACAAATCAAGCAGACATTTACACTACACAGCTGACTGAGGAAGCTTGGATTCAAGCGAAACACATTTTGGCAAAGGAACTGCACCCATTGGGACTGCAACCAACATTGTTTTTTTATAATTTTTACTTTTTATTGTTTTGTTTTATCCTTAATAAATTCTTGTTGGATTTACCTGCTGTTCAGTTCTGACCTTGTGACTTCTGCATACAAAAGAGGATGTGTTACCCCACAATTTGACACCCAGCCTATCTACTTCAAATTACAAGAGCCAGGATTGTAAGGCTCTTCAAAATATATAATTTCATATAAATGTTAAGTTAATAAAACAATCTGCACTATTGCATGTTCTTTCTCTACTCTTATATATTTGGAGTATATCCGTCCACATTCCAGTAGAGGTGTGATACTGCCCCTAAGAGCATAAAGGTGCCATCTACTGAGCCAGTTATTTTACGTGAGTTGTTAAATATCATCACTTATTTACAACAAGAATTTTATACCATCTGTACTATTTATCCCTTATGCTTGTATGTTTCATATACCTCATTTGATTATATACACCCCATGATACATTTGTACTATAGAGGGGTAAGCATTTTTTATGCATGGTTTATATTCTATATAGCACTCCACTCTAATATAGACTTAGCCACTAGAGGTACTTCCTATGTCAGTACTGCACAGTGCTCTGTAAGGAGACGCTGAACATTTCCCATAGAGATGCACTGCTTCAATGAGCCCGGCTATAGGCAATAGCCTCCCAATGCTTTCCTATTGGAAGATTGATCATATCAGCCATGGAGACGTGGCCAGCCGGGAAAAAAAGTGAGTAAATTATTTTTTTACAGTGATTGGAAGGGGGTAAGAAACCTAAATAGCGATTTCAATGCTGACACTGTATTCCTGACACTATGGTGTTCCTTTAACACTCAACTAAATCTAATGTTAACTCCTCCCGAGCCATCATATCCCCCATTACCATAGCCACTTCTAACATTATCTTTAACCCTACATACATTTCCACAGCTGGATACACTCACTGCAATCACACATTCTAACACAAAATATCACAAGCATTAAAGGGACACTCCAGGCACCCAGACCACTTCTGCCCATTGGAGTGGTCTGGGTGCCAACTCCCACTACTCAACCCTGCAAGTGTAATTATTGCAGTTTTTTATAAGCTGCAATAATTACCTTGCAGGGTTAACTCCACCTCTAGTGGCTGTCTACTAGACAGCCACTAGAGGGCACTTCCTGGATCATAGCACTGATTATCTCACACTTTGTGAGGACCTCCAGCGTCGCTCATTTCCCCATAGGAAAGCATTGAAATGCATTTTCAATGCTTTCCTATGAGGAGCGCTAATGCGCATGCGCGGCATTGCCGTGCATGCGCATTAGGTCTCCCCGGCCGGTGGCGGGATCAGTCTCGCCCACCGGTTGACGCAATGCAGAGGAGGAGCGGCGGTGGAGGAGGAAGAAGCGACGAGGGACATCGTCGCTGCCTCAGGTAAGTTACTGAAGGGGATTTCACCCCTTCAGCAACCGGGGATTGGGAGGTGGGAGGGAGAGGGGACCTGCAGTGCAAGGAAAACTGATTGTTTTCCTGGCACTGAAGTTTCCCTTTAATATGCACATACATGCAGATAGTTGCTTTTGTCAGTATTTCCTAGCGATATTTTATAGTTAGCATTAACTCACATTTCCGCATTAACCCCTCCATGGCTACATTAACATATAATATTATTGCCTGGCAGGAGTTAAGAAATGATCCGGTTCACATAAGCACTCTTTGTTTAAAGAACAGGGCAAGAAAACATGTTTTGCAGGGAACCTGATCTGCACATCTCTAATTGTGTGCAGGATTGGGCCGTTCCTTGTTACCAGGCAGACTTGAGTCTGTGGATATATTGTGAATATAAGGGTGAAGGAGGGGGGGGAGACTTGGCAGGAGTGAGGCCAAAGGGGTTTGTTATTGAGATTGAGGAACACAGCCCGGAAAATCTGTGTTGCACTCTGTTCCTAGAAACCAATCCATTTAGAAACATCCATAGCAATCAAACTGATTGAAGAAAAATAGTCTGTTCAAGAACATGGCTCAGAACCTTAGACATTAACTGTTGCGTTGCCTGAAATGGATAGATAGTTGCAACCTTTATAACACATTACTCATGCAGTTAAAATCATGCGTTTATGGTAGGAATTCAGTTTAGCTTAACATTTTCATTTGTTAACCTTGTTCTACAAAATGAAAAATGTAATTAAAATTTCCGTCTTCTACTCAGTCTTAAACTCCTCTTACCCTAACTTATCTTGCTAAGCACTCTTTTAAAAGCATGGTATTTGCTAGATTGCAAGATCATGGGCAGTTTCTTCTCTTACTTTTCTATTGGAATGTGTTCAAGCAGCTATTATTATGTCTGTTTGATGTTTTTAATTGTACTGTTATTGTATTAATGGTGTTGCTTACCCAGAAAGAGTATTTATGGCCGTTTTTTATTATTATAGTTTGTATTCGTTTGAAGGGTGTTCGCCCATCTTGGATGAGGCATTTTACACTGTGGTATGGCTGAAACCGCATGCATCGCCATCTTGAATGTGGCGATGTATTTCCGGTTCAGACCATATTAGGTTTAATTAGTAAGTAACACACCTGTTTGTATTTATATTGTGTTTGTAAGGTATATAAACAGCCAGGAGGTCATTGTCACCTTAGACTGCACCTGAGGAAGACCTGTATAGAGGTTGAAACGCATTGTACTGCTGTTTCAGCTTACTTTTATCTGTACATGGAATAAAATGATTTTAACATTGGTCATCTGATTCCTGTCGCTTCTGAATATCTTCTTGTTCCAGCAAAAGATTTTACTACAATACCAATGGTGGATGAAGTGCCTATACAGTTCAGAGCCATTCTTTAAGGGCTCT